ACACACACACACACACACACACACACACACACACACACACATATATATATATATATATATATATATATATATATATACACACATCATCATTGTCCGAGCCTTATTACAACTTTTTGGGGTTGGCTACACAAACCTGTTCCGCCAGTCTCTAGGGTCTAGATCCATGAAAACATGTGGCACAGTTTTGTGCTGGCTGCCTACCTAACAGGACCCTCCTCTGGATGGGCATGATCGGCTTGGGGCTGGGCATCGTGGCGGAGTTTATATATATTCCAAATTCCAAGCCTTCCTTCCACAAACCGAACTCACCCCATCTTGGGCATCCCAATTTCATAATAGAGATAAAATGTTCTTAATTATTGCTAATCAACTGGTGATCTTGGAAATTCCTCGCAATGGTTTGTTGCATTCCATTGGAGTTGTTTACTTGGTTGAAATTATTGAGTCCTACTTAGGGGCTACTAACTCAAAGGAAAGGAAAGAATCCTAGTAGCTAGGCAACTGTTGTGCTATTTGATTGGATATTAAATGGATGCGGTTGAGCAAATGCTATGTTTTTTGAACATGTTAACCTTTAATTTAAGAAGCGATAGTACAAAACCTTGGCTTACCACCAAAAAAGGTGATGAAGGTGGGAAGGAAAAAAGGAACACGACATCTAAAGCCTCTTTCGAGAAGTTACTATTTTGGAACAGCAACTTGAGAAAAGAAGCCAGATCCTTGGAACAGAAGAACCCAAAAAACAAAGAAAGGAAAGCCAAAAAAGAGAGATTTGTTAAGAGTCCCTCCATCTCCACTGCTGCTTTTGCTAGGGAGTCAGCGTCGTGATTTCCTTCCCTTCAAGAATGCATCCACACGATGAATGTATTCTTGCAAAGGTGATGAATGTATTCTTGCAACCGTAATGAATCCGATCGACTAATTGTGCCAAATACCAAGGGGGGTAGGAGGTAGGATTTTGGGCCCAAGTGATGGTGTTCCTGAAGTCACCCTCTATAATGATAGAGGGCAGGTTGAGGTTTTGGATGAGAAGTAAGCCTTCTAGGAGAGCTTCAACTTCACCCTCAGTCGAGTCTTTACGACCAATATGTTTGGAAACAAAAGCCACGATAGAACCGAGGTAGTCTCTGAGGATAACTCCAATTCCTGACAGTCCCGGGTTGCCATGGGAGCAGCCATCAAAATTGAGCTTAAGCATCCCCTGTGGTGGAGGTTTCCATCTAGAGGACCTAGTGGGGCAGGAACAATGATGTTTAAGAATAACGCTCCAACTTTGGTGGAGCGCCGAAGGCTGAATACCTTTGAACCAAGGGTGATGAGTTGCTCAGAAGATGATGGAGGCTTTGAGCTTGCAGAAGATTTTGAACCAAGGAGAGTAAACACCCTTAAAAATCCTGTGGTTTCGCTCGATCCATAAGGACCAAAAGGCTGCAGACACCACTGATTTCTAGAGCAAGGTACCTGCTTTGGGCCATGGGAATGGCTTGATTGAAGAAAGAATCGCGGTCGCCTCAGCTGGGAGTACCCATTCCACCTTGAAGAGCTTGAGGATAGCGCCCCACAGGTTGTATGCGTATGAGCAATGCAAGAAGAGGTGGTTATTAGTTTCCTCTTCTGCAAAGCACAGTACGCAGCGATTTGGGATCTGAACACCTCTTCTTTGTAGCTGGTCAACGGTGAGGACTCTCTCAAAGAGGGCCAACCACATGAAAACCTGGACTTTTGGTGGGGCTATGGAGTCCCAGGCCTGAGCCACGATCGAGATCGGGGCGAGGGGGAAGGTGGGAGGTAGAGACAGAGAGTGGTAGAAAGAGGAGACTGAAAGAGAGCCACCCGAGGAGGGGCTTCAAATGATTCGATCAGGGCCCGAGTGGGCGAGGAAACATGCTTGCAAGTCTCCCGAGAGAGAGGCAAAACTGAACATTTCTTGGTCGTTGAGAGATCTCCTAAAAACAGGGTTCCAGGATTGAGAGGTTCCGGCTAGTAGCATTTCTTGGGCAACTGTTGTCCCTTGATCTCTAGCGAGACGAAAGAAGTCAGGGTATTTTTCTTTAAAAGGAGTATGGTCCAGCCAGAGATCGTGCCAAAAGAGGATGCAGACTCTTGATCTAGGATGGAATCTGATGCGAGGTTTGAAGAGTGGAAAAATAGAACAAATAGCCCTCTAGACGCCTGAGGATCTGTAATTGGCTCTGAGTTCGGGTACCCAAGGGGAATCGTGGAGATGATATTTGGTTTTGAGGATGTCGATCCAAAGTTGACTCGACAGAGTCGCCAACACCATTTCCCAAGTAAGGCTGAATTTTGAGTGCCGATATTTTTTGTACCCAAACCCCCCCATTTCTTAGGCAAACAAAGTTTATCCCAAGCAAACAGGTGGAATTTGTGGTCAGAGTCAACACCTGACCAGAAGAACCTTCTTATGAGTTGTTCGATCCTCTTTTTGATGGCCACAGGTTTTCATCCATGTCGCCCTACTGCCCCAATGGTGAGACGTTCACTTAGGAACTCCCCCCTCTCCATTACCCATTCATGCTGATCTTATCCCGGAACATCCGTGGCCTTGGCCATTCTCTCAAGAAGGGAGCAGTCAAAGAGCTGTGTCTTAGACTTCGGCCTTGTCCAAGACTAAGTTGCCTTCTCCTACGCTGCTTCAGGTTCGACAGGTCTGGGGGAGACACCCTTGCCATTGGGCAACGTTGCCAACTGAAGGAGCCTCAGGGCCTCAGGGGGTATCTAGGTCACTTGGGACCCAACGATTCATTCCTTTGTTTCCCAACACGTAGCCAGATTCTCTGTCATCATTCTCCTGTTCAGAATCCCTAACAGGTGTCTTTGGAAATTCACTGCTGTCTGTGAGCCTAACCAAGACTCTCTCCGACCTCTCTTTTGGGCAGACCTCAACCAGGTTGGTCAACTACCCCACCCTATTTGGTGTTTAGGGGGGGATTTTAATGTCACTAGATGGTCCCATGAGCTCTTCCTCAAGGTTCTCCCAGGCTATGTCAGCTTTCTCTGACTTCATTGCTTCGAACAACCTCTTAGACCTGCCCACCCAAGGCGCTCAACACACTTGGTTCAACCACAACCACAATCCCAATCCCAATCCTTCTCTTTCTCGACTAGATTGCTTCCTCACCTCTATTGATTGGGATGCCTCATTTCCTGGGACTCATTCTTCGGCTTTGCCTAAGCCTACTTCAGACCATTGCCCCATCCTCCTCAATACTAACCCTTTACTTAGTGGCCCCAAACCTTTTAGGTTTGAATTAGCATGATTGGAAGAGCCTTCCCTAACTAACATGCTTCCGGGTTGGTGGTCGAAACTTTCTAGTTTGGTGGTTGGATGGGCAAGATTCAAATTTCAACGTAAACCCCATCTTCTCAAGAACCTCCCTGGGTTCCTTGGACCTTAGAAAACCGCTACTTTGCAGTCCATCCACACCCTTGACAACTTGGAAGAAACTAGGTCTCTCTCGGGCCTTGAACTTCAAGAATGGGATGACCTTAAGCTACTTTTCCAATCCCTTCTCAAAAAAGAGGAAATTTTCTAGTACCAGAGATCGAGAATTAAGCGGTTGAATTTAGGGGATCTCAATACTGGTTTCTTTCACAGAACGGCAAATTGTAGGCACAGGGAGAACACTATATCCCAGCTAGTAGTGGAAGGTAACCTTTTAGAGCGTCCCCCAGACATAGAGCAAGCCATCCTTGGCTAGTTTCAAACTCTCTGCTCGGCTCCCTCCAACCCTTGTCCCCAGATGGGGGACATTGTATTCCTAACTCTAGCACCTGAGAAGGCCTCTTGGCTGGAGAGGCCTTTCTCTGAATCGGAAATTTTAGCAGCTATCTCAGACCTCGACTCTGATAGAGCCCCTGGACCAGATGGCTACCCGCGTGCTCCCTTCAAGTGTTTCTGGGAATCATTTCGTGTTGATTTCCTTTCCCTCTTCGAAGAATTTCACGAAAGGGGGATCATTCACTGAGCTATGAACGTGAGTTTCATAACTCTGGTGCCCAAAATTCCCGGTGCAAATTGGCTCAAAGACTTTAGACCTATCAGCCTCGAAAACTCCACTTACAAGGTCTTGGCCAAGGTGCTAGCCTCTCGCCTCAAAGAGGTCCTACACTTAGTCATTTCTCCCAATCAAAGTGCTTTTATCAAAGACCGGTAGATTCTGGACGGTGCCGTGGTGGCTCATGAATGTATACATTCCAGACACCTGAACAAAGACCCCGGCATCATAGTTAAGCTCAGTTGGGAGAAAGCTTATGACCATGTCGATTGGGATTGACTTGAAGAAACCCAATCTAGGATGGGGTTCGGAGTCAAATGGAGAAATTGGATGAGAGCTTGTTACTCCCACCCTTTCTTTTCTATTCTTATCAATGGTACCCCCAAAGGGTACTTCCCTTCTACAAGAGGACTTCGCCAAATGCTGTGTTCAATTTGTTTTCTTTTCTGAAGAAACATTTCAGTGGATACCCATCATTTTCAAAGGATATCTACTCAAAAAAAATTTGTTTTATTTTCTGAGGAAACATTTCAGTGGATACCCATCATTTTCAAAGGATATTGGATAAGCCTATTAGCCTTTTACCACTTGACTGATATAGGCCAGTTAATTTGCATAAGTGTGGATTCATTTCTACGGTGTGTACGCATGTTATATGTTGTTTACTGCTCATTATGGTTAGTTATATATGTGAGAACTCTTGCTCATATCTTGCCGTTTCTTTGGAATTGTCTGCTTATAGCATATGATGAAGTTCTCATAGGACTAATCTAGATTGGCAGAGTACAGCTGTTGGATAGTTCACTAGATTCTTTATGTGCTGAGTTGGTTTCTCTACCATCAGAGAAACAAAAGGATTTCAATTTTTCATCATTGGAATTTATCACTTGTGGTCCCATGCTGCTGGTTTGTTTAGGTTGCTGTTCTTTTCTTCTGCAGAATTTTTTTTCTTTTCTTTTTATTTCGTTTTCAACTTTTCTTTTTTTTTCATTTTTTTCAATTAAGGTTGACACTGGGAGAGCCACCTGTTAAATTGGTAATATAAAGGGTGCAGCACCTAGTTGTACTCTGTACAGTAGGGGAAAAAAGGGGCTTAGCCCCCCTGGATCTTTCCAAATCCATTGCAAAAAGAGGCTTAAAGTCTGTGCTTTCGGATGTCCATCCTATTGCATAAGGCACTACAAAACCCTCTACCCCTTTAGAGCTACCGCACTGTAATGCATTAAAAAGCCCTTTCCAACTTAGTATCGTATTCTTACAACCAGTGTTTTAAGAAATGCTGGGTTGGATTGGAATTGCTCGATCCGACCCAGGAAGTCGGTGGGCCCATGCCCAGTTCCCTGAATATATTGTGAACCAGGCGTTCCCGCTACGAACCATCCAGTTCTTTGACAGAACCGGTGGTTCCGTCAGGGAACAAGGCTGACCACCAGGTTCGCAGACCACCAGGTTCGCACATCTGCATTACTTTTTTTTTCGTATTTTTATTGATTATTTCTTTTTAAATTAAAAAATAAATTAATATAACTATTTCATGCAAAATTTAAATAACCTGGCCTCACCCCCTCTATTTTGAATGGTGCCTAGCCGACGATGCTGGACAAAAAAGTAGGAGTTCCTTTTAATAGAGTTTACCCCATAAGCCTCTTATGTATGTACCTGATGTGGGGCTAAACGCCCTTCCCATTGGATGGTTAATGTCCTTTAAATCTGAATATTTGTCTCTCCTAATCCAAAGCAACTTGTAAGCTCTTTCTCTCTCTCTCTCTC